TTATATATGGTACTTCCTTATAAGGAGACAGTAATGAGTATGCAGATGATTACCATATATGGTACTTTGTAGATGTCATTCCATAAAAGAAGACAGTATTCAAATTATTACCATACATGGTATAATATGATAAGTTGACAACAAATGATTACCATATATAGTGTAATATGTCACTTTATAAGTTGACAGTATGCAAATGATTACCATATATGGTGTCACTTTCTAAAATGACAGTATGCAAATGATTACCATATATGGTGTCACTTTATAAGATGACAGTATGCAAATGATTACCATATATGGTGTGATATGTCACTTTCTAGGATGACAGTATGCAAATGATTACCATATATAGTGTAATATGGTGTCACTTTCTCAGATGACAGTATGCAAATGATTACCATATATGGTGTAATATGGTGTCACTTTCTAAGATGACAGTATGCAAATTATTACCATATATGGTATAATATGGTGTCACTTTCTAAGATGACAGTATGCAAATGATTACCATATATGGTGTAATATGATATCACTTTCTAAGATGACAGTATGCAAATTATTACCATATATGGTATAATATGATATCACTTTCTAAGATGACAGTATTCAAATTATTACCATATATGGTATAATATGGTGTCACTTTCTAAGATGACAGTATGCAAATGATTACCATATATGGTGTAATATGGTGTCACTTTCTAGTATGACAGTATGCAAATGATTACCATATATGGTATAATATAGTGTCACTTTTTAAGATGAAAGTATTCAAATTATTACCATATATGGTATAATATGATATCACTTTCTAAGATGACAGTATTCAAATTATTACCATATATGGTATAATATGGTGTCACTTTCTAAGATGACGTTATGCAAATGATTACCATATATGGTATAATATGATATCACTTTCTAAGGTGACAGTATGAAAAATATTACGATATATGGTATAATATGATGTCACTTTCTAAGGTGATAGTACCCTTCCATACACCCATACCACTGACTTATTTATAGTAATGTTGACAGACATTTGACAGACATTTGTGACAAAAATTCTTCATTTTTTTGGAGAAAACTTTGGATTACTTGGCATTTCGGTAAAAGACTTGAGTTCATACTCAGTATAACCAGAGTCCATATCTGATCGATGTCTTGCAAATATCAGTCTTATATCTGTATGTAAATATATATGACCAGACTTTGTACTCATAAACCTACAGAAACAAATAAACATTTAAATTACTTGATTGTTTGTATGAATTTTAGTTGCTATGGTAAACGTTTTGAATAGTGTCTCTAATAAAGTCATGCATATTCTTCATACACAATGCCAGACAAACAGTCTAAGACCCAATAAATCCAAATAGTTACATCCCATAATTTTAAACACACATTTCCCCAGTGATAGTTTCATTTTCTTATAAGGAGTGATGACAGTATTCATAATCTGTCTACTAATCAGCATTGAATATGGAAGTGCAGGGTGAAACATAATTTGGCCTTCACACACACACATAGATAATTATCATACTGTCTCTATAGATTCAATTAGAATGAAATAAAATCGAAAATCTGGAGCCAAGAAAACAAACAAGCAGCCTGTCGGCTGAGATAGCTCTGCTGTTAACCATGCACATCACTATTAAAGGACTGAAGATATCATTAGAAAATGAACAATATATATATATATAAAGCAACGGGACAAATCTGAAAGAAGTCCACATGTAGTACCTATATATGTAATATAAAAGCAATCAAACTTGCGGTTTTCAACAAGAAGACAAAAATATCACTTTTCACCAAAAATGACAAAAATAATCATCAAAATTAAATAATTGAAGATTTCACAACGAAATTAACAAATCTGAAAGAGGTCCTCATGTAGTACATATATATATATGTATTATAAAAGCAATCAAACTTGCGGTTTTCAACAAGAAGTCGAAAATATCACTTTTTACCAAAAATGACAAAAATATTCACCAAAATTAGAGAATTAAAGATATCATCACAAAATGAACAAATCTGAGAGAGGTCCACATGTAGTACCTATATATGTAATATAAAAGCAATTGGACTTGCGTTTTTTAACAAGAAGTCGAAAATATCACTTTTTACCAAAAATGACAAAAATATTCACTAAAATTAGAGAATTAAAGATATCATTACAAAATGTAATTTTCAAGAAGAAGTCGAAAAAGTAAAACATTGACACGAACGACGACGGACAATCACTCATATGATAAGCCCCGCTCGACAAAGTCGACAGCGGAGCTAAAAAAAACTAATATCTTGCGTTTTTCACATTTCAATTGACAACATAGACTTTGTTGATGGAAGATAAAGAATATTTCAATTTGATTCCAACTTACCTGAGATGAATGAGATCCTGTAAAATACTTTATTTTCTCTATTTTGGCTGAAGGAATGATTCAGTGAAAATAAATTCCAGCAAATATACTTTTTTGCTATTTTTTTACATTGAACTTTATCATTGAAAAATCAGTGAAAATAAATTTCATACAAAACATCAAAAAAGTCTTTTCAGCGAAAATTGATTCCAGCTAAAATAAAGTATATTACAGTATCATAATTCTGTCATCATCATCATCATCACTGAATGTTCCATTTTGATTGGAGCAGTGACAACTTACCTGAGATGAATGAGGTATCGTAATTCTCGAACACTGTCATCATCATCCAAGGCTGCATTGCTAGGCATATAGTAGGTTCGCTGACGAATAAATGTCTGACAGTTCGTTGGCATATCTTCAAGATTGTAAATTACAACAAACATTTTAACCACAGTTTTATTTGGGTTGAACAATGTCTGCAATAAATACAAAATAGAATTGATGATGGGTTTCAACTGAATAATCAGAGAAATCATGAATTAAAATAGCCAATCAGATACATTTTTAGTATTTACTGCACTCAGTAAATCATCAAGGCACTTTCTGATTGGCTTATTGGTAATCCAATCATGTACATTCTTACATGACATTCACAATCTTCCACCATTTCTGAATCACTTGTAAATCATTAGGCACTTTCTGATTGGCTTACTGGTAACCCAATCATGTACATTCTTACATGACGGTTACAATCTTCCACCATTTGTGAATCACTTGTAAATCATTAGGCACTCTCTGATTGGATTACTGGTAAACCAATCATGTACATTCTTTTATGACAGTTACAATCTTCCACCATTTGTGAATCACTTGTAAATCATTAGGCACTTTCTGATTGGCTTACTGGTAACCCAATCATGTACATTTTTACATGGCATTCACAATCTTCTATGCGTCATTTATGAATTACTCAGTAAATCATTAAGGCACTCTCTGATCGGCTTACTGGTACCCAATCATGTACATTCCTTACATGACATTCACAATTTTCTATGCATCATTTGTGAATTACTCAGTAAATCATTAAGGCACTCTCTGATCGGCTTACTGGTACCCAATCATGTACATTCTTGCATGACATTCACAATCTTCTATGTGTCATTTATGAATTACTCAGTAAATCATTAAGGCACTTTCTGATTGGATTACTGGTAACCCAATCATGTACATTCTTGCATGACATTCACAATCTTCTATGTGTCATTTGTGAATTACTCAGTAAATCATTAAGGCACTCTCTGATTGGATTACTGGTAACCCAATCATGTACATTCTTGCATGACATTCACAATCTTCTATGTATTTTGTGAATCACTCAGTAAATCATTAGGCACTCTCTGATTGGATTACTGGTAAACCAATCATGTACATTCTTTTATGACGGTTACAATCTTCCACCATTTGTGAATCACTTGTAAATCATTAGGCACTTTCTGATTGGCTTACTGGTAACCCAATCATGTACATTTTTACATGACATTCACAATCTTCTATGCATCATTTGTGAATCACTCAGTAAATCATTAGGCACTCTCTGATTGGCTTACTGTAAACCAATCATGTACATTCTTTTATGACATTCACAATCTTCTATGCATCATTTGTGAATCACTCAGTAAATCATTAAGGCACTCTCTGATTGGCTTACTGGTAAACCAATCATGTACACACTTACATGACATTCACAATCTTCCACCATTTGTGAATCACTCAGTAAATCATTAGGCACTCTCTGATTGGCTTACTGGTACCCAATCATGTACATTCCTTACATGACATTCACAATTTTTTATGCATCATCTGTGAATCACTCAGTAAATCATTAGGCATTTTCTGATTGGCTTACTGGTAAACCAATCATGTACATTTTTTTTATGACATTCACAATCTTCTCCCATTTGTGAATCCAATGTACTTACTATCTGTACTGTTCCCTTCTTTGGTACGTGATATCCTTTCCTACCAAGAGACTTCAGACAAATATGACCCTGTCAAATAAAAACAATAAACAAATATAACCCAAATATAATAAATAAAATATAAACCACTG